AGCAACCCTCATTTTGTTTCCTGAGATTTAAGAATTCCTCATATCAGTGAGGTCATATGATACATGTCTTTCTCTGATTGACTTATTTCGCTCAGCATAACACTCTCCAGTTCACGTCGTTGCAAATGGCAAGATTTCTTTTTTTTTTTGATGGCTGCATAATATTCCATTATATATATATACCACATCTTCTTTATCCATTCATCTGTCGATGGGCATCTTGGCTCTTTCCACAGTTTGGCTATTGTGGACATTTGTTTAGCGGTATTTTGAAATAGTAACTTAAACGTTCCTCGCGGAAGGAAAAGTTGAGATTTCACATTTTTGTTAGGTACTGGCACCATTTTTTTCAATTCACTGATTAATGCTTGAGGTTTTATTATACACTTGGGGAAATGACCACTTTGACCTGAGATTTACATGTGTAATTCCATTAGCGAAAGTGCAAGTTATCCTTGCAGACTTCCTGACGTGGAGATATAAATATATAATCCTTATCTCTGGGTCTCTGAGTTACTGCTGATACCTGCTGTGCAGCGCTAGCTCCATGAGATACCTTTTATTTTACTGTAGCTGGAAAGATCAATGAATGTTAACGGTGTAAAAACTCCACAAGGAGGAAGGTCCACACGTGAACTTTAATTGCACCATAGATGCTATCTTGTGCAGTGACTGGCCATTAAAATAACCTGCTTCTTCTCGTGTGTACCACCTTGTTATTTGCTGGATCTCCCAAACAGCCCGTAGGTCCTCAGTGAAATAAACAGCCCCTTCTTGAGATTGTTCCTCAGGAAAAAATGACAGCAATGATAGTGCCTGGGAAAGTGTATGTAAAGAGCATTACCCTGGTGAGCACCTCACAAATGGTTTGTCTTTTTTACAGCCTGTCAACCAGGGTCGTCACTATCAGAAAGAAATGAATCCACCTTCTCCTTCTAACCCCCGGTAAGAATCATTAATAAGCTAAGTATCTTTTTTTTTTGAAATTATTTAAAAGATTGTGCATTTTTCTTAGTGTCACAAAAAAGAGCTTCCAAAGTTCTTTTCTTTAGAAGGCTTAGTTCAGTCTACTTTTCTTATTTAGAGCACTGTGGTATGGTGGTTAACAGTCTACCTAGGTTTAAATGGCATCTCTGCCTTTTACAAGCTGTAGGACTTTGAGCAAGCCAGTTAACTCAGGGTCATCCGGGCATAATAACTACCCTCTGCTCTTTTGGGATAATCATACGAATGAATACATGAAAAATTCATAGCACAGTTTCTGGCTCGCAGCAAGCTCTCTTTAAGTGTTAATTTATTCCATATTATTCTATTTGCATAGATATTTCATTTTAATCGGTATGTGATGTTTAGTACATTTTAGGCATGAATTTTTTGGTATTTCTGGTCCCTTTAAATTTATCAAGATAGCAGGGTGCCTGGGTGGCTCAGTCATTAAGCGTCTGCCTTCGGCTCAGGTCATGATCCCAGGGTCCTGGGATCGAGCCCCACATCGGGCTCCCCGCTCAGCCAGGAGCCTGCTTCTCCCTCTCCCACTCCCCCTGCTTGTGTTCTCGCTATTTCTCTGTCAAATAAATAAATAAAATCTTTAAAAAAAAAAAATTTATCAAGATAGCTTGTATCAGTTCAAAGGCCATTCTCTTTTTTCAAAATCTCTAAAGTTAATCCCAAAATTATTTCATTATTTCAAAAATGTCATTGGTATTATGAGTCATTTGTCAATATAGAAAAATCTCATTATCTTAGGCTCACTAAAGACAAGCAAATTGGAATTTGTGTTTTGAAATATATGTAGTATTATATGGTTTTCCAAAAAAATAAATTTGTTTATCAGTACAAATCAGTATCACTTTATTACAATTTATTAAATACTAGGAATTTATTAAAAATCAGTCTATCTTGAGCTCCATCTGCAGGATCTTAGTTGTTGTAATGCATCTCATTGTCCAGCTCTCTCACCTGTCCTGTGGGTTGTCCCATAAAATGGACCAAAACACCAGTGATAGTAGTGTAGCTCTGGCTCTAGAGTGTGATATTTTTTTTTTTTAAGATTTTATTTATTTATTTCAGAGAGAGACAGAGAGAGCACGAGCAGGGGGAGGGGCAGAGAGAAGCAGGCTCCCCATTGAGCAGGGAGCCCCACACACGGCTCGACCCCAGGACCCCAGGATCGTGAACGAGCCAAAGTCAGACGTTTAACTAACTGAGCCACCCAGGCACCCCTAGAGTGTGATATTTATTACAGTGTTTGAATTATAGTTGAACATATAAAAAACAACTTAGCTAGTGTTAAAATAGAGACAGAGACAGAGAGAGACAGGAAGGATTTGTTAAATAAGAATACAGGGCTCATCAGAAAGGATGAATACTTAACCATTTACATCGACGTGGATGGAACTGGGGGTAATTATGCTGAGCTAAATAAGTCAATCAGAGAAAGATAATTATCATACAGTTTCACTCCTATGTGGAATATAAGAAACAGGGCAGAGGACCATAGGAGAAGGGAGGGAAAACAGAATGGGAAGTCATCAGAGAGGGAGAAAAACCATGAGAGACTCTTAACTATAGGAAACAAACTGAGGGTTGCTGGGAGGGAGGGTGGGTGTGGGGATGGGGTAAATGGGTGATGGACATTAAGGAGGGCACGTGATGGGATGAGCACTGTTACACGCAACTGATGAATTATTGAACTCTACATCTGAAACTAATGTACTTACTATATGTTAGTTAATTAAATTTAAATAAAAACAAAAAATTAAAAAGAATACAGGGCTGTCCCCTGGAACGCAAGGGCAGCCAAGCCTCAGGAAGGGAACAGGACCGGAATGCTGAGAGGCAGCCAGGCGGTATCCTCACTCCATCTCTGCTTGCTTCTTCCTGTCTGTTCCATTCTTCTCTCTAAGCACCAGCTTTCTGTTTCCAGTCAACATATGGCTGTCTGACAGCTCTTGAGTTTATGTATTACAGTTCAAAATACATGCCGAGCCTGACAAGCTATGTCTGAATCCCAATTCCTACTTTGCAGGGGAGAGCATGTGATTGGCCTAGCTTGGGCCAAGTATCCACTTTTGGTCCAGTCAGCAATGAACAGCCAACCCAGCCATGTAAAACTAACATGGCTGCCAGGAGACCACCTACATAGTTTATGGGACTTTTAATGGTGCCCAGAATATTAACAGAAGTAGAGCAAATGTTCTTTATTAGTAATCACTTCTAAGTGTTCCTGGTCTATATACATGATCTGGTCATTCTTTCATGTTTTGTAGTAGGGAGAATTGCAACTATCATAAATAGATATAATAAGGAGTTCAAAATTGAGTTTGTAATTTCAGAGTATATGAAAAGGTGTTTTAACATTCTTAAAATCAGTTGTCTCTTGACATGTAAATATGTCTCTTACAATCTTTCAGCTCATAAGCTCTTTTTATCTGTGTATGAGTAAACTTTTAAGGTAACTGGAAATCCAGCTTTGGTCCAAATTATAACAAAGTCAGGGTTTGTAATCTGAACAAACGAATGTGATAGTTCAGATATGTTAGAAAGTGGAGCCTTTGTTTTGATAAAAAGAGAAAGAGGACCAAATTCCCATCCTAATTCTGCTACTAACCCATTGATCTCAGACAAGCCTCTCAACCTGTCCAGACCTCACCAATAATATGAACACCCTCATGTGTAAAGGAAAGGATTTGAGTTTCATGTTCTCTCAGGTCACTTCCAGCTTCATGATTCTCTGACTTTCATGAGACTCATTATGGATTTTACATATGAAACCCAGTTCCACCATCACAGGGAACACTGCCCTACAGAGAAAACATACTTCATAATGTTGGATTAGTTAATATCTGGATGTAATGCTATGTAACTTTAAATATCTCTTTTCATGTTTGATTCCCAAAGATAGAATATAAGAAAATTCACCAACCAGACAGCATATTTTATTTAGCCAATTAAATGTTCATTCATTTAGGGAAAATTAATTTACATTTTTACACAGTAAAGTAAAAAGCCAAATTCCAAAGCAAAAAATAAAATGCTGTCAATCCCATTTGCCAGCAGGTTATCCACCCATTTTCCTAGAAAATTATTATTTAGCTGTTCAGAAAACTTGCAGATTATGTGGTTGGCTCTTGGCTCCATAAATCCAGCAGCTTGAAAGAATTGGCAGAAAGACATTGGACCATAAATAAAGACAATGATAAAGTTATGAGGTCAACATAGATCATCATATAAAAATGGGATAAATTCAATCATGTAATACATGTAAGTTAACTTAAAATTGAAAACTATGATTCTTTTAAGATTTGTATTTATTATATTTCTTACAAATAGTATCCCACACCTGGACCCTAAAACACAGAACTCTAAAATTTAAGATTAAATTTAAAAGATGCTGATAATGAATATGAAAAAATATATAAGAAATGAAAAGATAAGTCTCTAAGTCTACCCCTTGGATAAACAAGCATTTAACCTGAATTCTGGATTGAAAGTTCTGCCTGCGGAGGCTCTGAACACATAAGAGGCAGGTAGTCTCTTGATTTCCTGAATTAAGTGTTATTATGATCAGAGTAACGCAGACATGATGGGGATGAAGACGTGTGCGTGCAGGTCTATCGAGAGAGCATGCTGGTGCCCTGTGGGAGTGGAAGTGGCCACATTAGCTTCAGTGAAGTATCTACAACTACTCCAGAGAACTAAGATTTTACCCACACTCATACTCCTACCCATACTTGTACCCATACTCATGTCCACACACATAGATATAGATTTAAGAGTGTCAGTTTTCAGTTAGCTTAATTAATGTCACAGAACAACCAATATCCCCAAAGTCTTTCATTTACATTTTGCTCTGGGAAGATTTTTCTTTCTGCAGTATAATTACCTTCTTAGTTTTATGTGGTTATGATTAAAGTTAAAGATAGCATGCAATTCACAAAGCAGGCAAATTTGGGTTTTGAAGAGTTGACGCTAAGATGCCAATAGCTAAAACACGGCATATATTCATAGATTGTTTTCCTCAGAGTCAAAGAATCCACTTGCGCTCACAGGGTGTTGCTTGACTTTGGATGGAGGTGGGAAACAATGGTAATCATTTCCAGAGAAGTGTACAGTCTAGGAATTGAAATCCACATGGTTTACCTCATCATATCGCCCGGTGTCCAGATTTGCAACAAAGCCATTTCCCTTCACATTGTTAGGCCTGGGTCTAATCGTTCTTATAATTTTTGCGTAACATGCTGACGGATATTTCGGCAGCATCTCAGATTCCAGGGCCCTTGCCTCCAGTGTCCACCCACACTGCCTCGTGGGGCACTGACAGCCTCTATGAGAAGGTGCAGAAATGGCTAAGATAATCTAATACAATTTAGAGGCGTGTTGGGTAGGAGGAAACAATTTCACAGTTCATTCCTGTTGAGAAATGTCTCCTCGCATGTAAACTTACATGCTGCCAAATGGAGCAAAATGGATGCTGTTTGCAGCCTTAAGTCATTTCTTTTTTTTTTTAAAGATTTTATTTATTTGCGAGAGAGAGAGAGAATGAGAGACAGAGAGCGTGAGAGGGAGGAGGGTCAGAGGGAGAAGCAGACTCCCTGCCGAGCAGGGAGCCCGATGCGGGAC